GCTCTGCTCCTGGGGAGCTCCACCTCCTCGGCAGAGCCACAGGCAGAGCTCAGGCTCAAAGTTCCTCTGCTCCAGGCAGCACTTCCTCCACTGAGTAAAACACGAGTAAAACACGAGTAAAGCACGAGTAAAGCACAGCAAAGGAAGGGCTGAGCTCTGCCTGAGCCCCTCACTGAGCTCAGCTGGCCCAGGCCAGACCTCCAGCCCTTCTCCGGGGCAGCCTGAGTGGATTTTTTTTGCACTGAACAAATGCAGAGAGGGGAGAGCACCCAGTTCTGCTCTGCTCTGAAACCCAACACATCCTACTCACTCTACCCCAGACCTGCTCCCACAGCGACCCAGCTCCAGCTCACTTTGCACAAAAATCCCAGTGCTGGAGGTCTGGGGCTTTCAAAAGGGCTCAGAGGGAATCTCTGGAGTCCCTACCTGCCAGGACCACCTGTCCAGAGACCATTCCCAATGGCAAAAGCTGGCTCTGGTGGCTTGAGCAGCGAAAATCGCTCAGCAGCCGTCAGAGCAGGCAAACAGAGCTCCAGCTCAAGGATTTCCCAGTGATTCCACACTTTTGTCTCCACATTTAAAGCCTCTCAAGTGAAGCAAGACAAATATAAATAAAAAAATCAGGCGTTCCCCCTTATTGATCCCACCAMAGTGCCTGGGCCAAAGCTCCAAGCGGGGTTGGAAATGAGGCGAGGGAAAATGTTACACAGACCAGAGTTGTTTGGAATTGTGCTCTGGCATTGCACGAACCCAAATCTCCCCTTCCCCAAGGCACTGCTCCAAGGACAGCCTTTGAGGGGCTGATATTCCCTGGGAAAACACAGCACTGATTCAGCTCCTCGCCTCTCTCCAGGGGTGGTTCTGTTCCACTTTTCTGTGAGCTGCAGCAGAAGTGGAGAGGAAGCTTTGAACAGAACACTCCTGGCGTTGCCAGCCCCCTGGTGCCTCAGTTTCCCTGGGTGCTCAAATGAGTCCAACGCTCCTGCCCAGGTGCTGAGCACCCAAAGCACTTCCAGGTGCTGCAGGGAGTGCATTGCCAGGAGAAAACAGGAATGAAAATAGGAATAAAAAGAGCAAGCTGTGCTCAGTGGTCTGTTTTCTCAGGAATGTTGATGTCTGTAGCACAGAAGAGTGAGCCCCCTGGTCATGGACCCTCCTGTCCCTCCCCAAGCCCAGATCCTTTCAGGAATGAAGAGCACACTCATGTTTTTATGGACCTGTTAGGGCCCTTTCAGCTCTTTGGGGTGGGGCAGGGCTGAGCTCCCTTTCTACCTAAAGCTATAGCAACAAACCACTTCCTTTTTTACACTCCTAAAATTATCTCCCCACCTTTCCCCCACCCTGCACCTCTCCCCACCCTCACAGAGCCTCTGTGTCAGCCCTGAGAGGAGCCATGTGTGGGAGGAGTCCTGGGGACAGCAGAACCTCAGGATCTGCTCCCAACCTGGGGACGGTTGATCTCCATCTGCACAAACCCTTCCAGAACCTGGGGATGATTGATCTCCATCTGCACAAACCCTTCCAGAACCTGGG